GCAGGCAGGGCCCTTCCCTCAGTATACGGCTTGCCTGGAAGGTGGGCTGATGGAGGGGCCTGAGCGCCGCACCGTGACTGGCGGTGCAGCCTAGGGGTATGAGGCTGGGCTGACTTTTCCTGGAGGCGGTGACGAGTTCTCTGGGGCAAAACTGCCAATTAGAAGGCCATAGAGAGGCCAGGAGGAGGGGAGAGAGTGATTGGAAGGATTTGTCTCTCAGGCGACCTCGCAGAGCCTGCCTGTCAGAGCCTGCCTGTCCGCCTCATTCCAACCATGTGTTTGTCCTTGCTGCCCAGAGGCAACTCCTGCCCTGAGATGCGGCCTCATCCTCGGAGTGAGGCCTTCCCTAGTGCTGGCTGTCTGGAGGACGGGCCTTGTCCCCAAGAGCAGCATTCTCACCGCACTTTTGTGCAGGACTGAAATGAACATCCTGCCTTTGAGTTAGTGAGCCTTGGGATTGTTAGTTTCTTTCCTTGTCCTAATGGCTTGCTTGGCTGCTCCGCATTTCAGAAAATAGTTAGGAGGGCAGGCACTTTTTCTTAGGCATCCTTCTCTCCAGGGAGAAACCCCACCCAGAGGATTGTTTACTCTTTGCATCTGCTGTCTTTTTAGCCATCTGCATATGTGGGGAAAAGAAAACGGGCCAGTGAGAAGTAGCAGATCCATTTGTTTGATTAAGCAGCTGCAGGGTGGCTGCACAGCACCCCCCACCCCAGGTCCCAAGGAACTAGCCTGTCTTCAGGTCACGCCTTCCGGGTTTAGCCAATCCAAGGCTGCTGAGGTTGACAGAAGAGGGCTCCAGGTTTCTCCCTCCTCTTTTTGCCCCTCACCATCATCTTAAAGAGACTCAGAAGACTGCTGGTTTAGTATTATTTATCTGGAAATCTTTTGCATGGAATAGTTTCCTCATCCGATTCACCCAAATATGTACTGGCGGCTTTACTGTGTGTCAGATGCGGTGGAAAGTGTACAGAGGGGCTGGGCCCGAGAGGAAGAACCACCTCGGTTGGCCAGTGTGAGGGTGTGGACATGCCCTCCACCCAGGAAGAGCTTCCTTCCTTGCAGTGACAGCACTTGCTTTTCCACACTGTCACATGCAGTATCTAGAACTAATTGCTGAATGCGTTGGCTGAGCTGAAACGAGATCGGTGACTCTGAATTTGATTTCTTTCCCTGCATGAAGGTTATAGGCCTGTCTGGACGTTAAACTGCCTGTGGCCTCTGTATTTCTGGGTTAGCTGGCCCCGATTTTTTTTAATCAGTAAAAATTGGGGATTTAAAATCAGATGTTAAGTTTGGCCCTTCTCTCCCTGCCTTTCAAGAAAGGCTTTTTGGGAACCTTCATGTGTGTGGCTTGATATCTGCTACAGGAAAGTGGGAGCAGGAGGAAGGAGAGACAGCAGCGGGGTTCCAGATTCTGTCTTGCGGTGTCCCGTCCACTCAGGCTGCAAGTGTCTCACAGACTCTGCGGCTGGCAGCTGGGCACACGTGAGGGGGAGGGGTCAAAGCCAATACTGAGATTTTTTTTTTTTTTTTTTAATCTGAACCGTAATTCTCCTGTAAAAATAATTTGGGAGGGCGGGTGTTCAGGGTGTGTGTATGTATGTGTGTGTGTGTGAGAGAGTGTGTGTGTTTTTTTTTTTTACAGTGGCTGTCTAAAGTATTTTTCACAATATGTTTAATAATCAGTGCTTTAAGCAGCAGCAGTATCCTATAAAGTGAAAATGTCAGTTCTAGAGCATTGGATGTGACACTCAGGTCCTGTCACGTTGCATGTCCCGCCTTGGATGAGTGTAGAGGGGTTCCTGACACGGGTGGCAACTCCCAGAACAGGGAGCACCGTGTGCCCAGAGGAGCGAGCAGTCCTTAGGATAGCGGGAAGCCTGGATTTTCATTTCAAGTGGGATACAGTATTTTTTTAATAAGGAGCCATACTTTTTTTTAAAAAGTTTGAGATCTGAATGTGATTTCTAATTGTATCAGACGTTAATGTTTTAAAGCTATAACAAAGTTTAAAATTTCTACTTTTTGTTTTTCATTTATTTTAACGGTTCTTTTATCTATTAAATTGTTGTATGTGGATGGGGAAGTTTTGTTTCTCCTCTTAGCATTTGTTTCTATAACCAGAAATAAAATTATATATGAAAGAATTGACACCGAGGCTCCGTGTGGTCCCTTTTGCTGGCTGCCGAGGGACAGTGGATTGGATAGCTGGGACACACAGGTCCAGCTGTGGGGGATGCGTGTGTCCCACGTGTCTGTTCTGGGAGAAGGAAGCTGACAGAAGAGATGGTTGTGCAGGTGTCTGTGACTCCCAGACTCAGCAGCCCCCCAGGAGCTCTCTGAGCAGGCATCCTTGCAGCTCCAGGAATATGAAGACCACTTGTGTCTGCCTCGTAAGAAGCAAGGGAGGAACCAGCTAAGCCACCCCCTGCTCCACAGCTTGGGGGTGGATGTGCCTGTAGGCACCCGTGGCTATCTCAGTGGCCCCGTGCAGGTTTGGGCCCTTCCTGCTGGCACGCAGCAGAACAAGAGTGTCTGCCCATTCTGTGCGTGTTTTCGCCAAGGCCTGCTAATTCTGGGTGTGGGGCGGGGGGATGGCATTGACTTTGGAGCCTGATGAACCAGGGTCCAGGTTCCTGCTCACTTCTTACCGGCTGCAGGACGTTCACCTGCGATGCTCGGCAGTTCTTCACGTGCAGAATGGGCAGTGCCACCTCACAGGATGTGGGGATGACATGAGGTGTGCCGGGCCGGCAGAGTGCTCTGCACATCTGCCACGATGAAACCGGCCTCTTTTTTCATCACCCCCCACCCAGATTTCTGAGGCACTTGATGGTTCCCCTGCCGGCTACCTCTGACAGATTTTATTCATGTGTTGTCACAGATACCTCTCTTGTCATGGCTCTGTAGTGTCTGTGTGTGTGACTCATTCAGCTAAATAGGCAACTTGTGCCCTCAGGTTTCACGGGTGTCCATAGTTACAGCTGGTTTGACCACTTCTCTGCCTTCTTTCCGGTTACTCCATTTCCATTGGAAGATTCCAACTGTAAGCATTAATTTACATCAGATTCATTATATTTTAATATTTCAGCCAAATAGTGAGCATGAGTAAGAATAATGTCTCCTCTAGGGAGCTGCATTGGCTAATTAGCAAAGTCTCTTTTAAAAATTTTCAAGTTTTCTTTTCTAATTTCGTTTTTTTTTAGGACATTTTTCATTAGTGAGACCTTAAATAGCATTTTAACAAATGTAAATTTTATAAGGAACAAGTCAAATATTAAGCTTGGTAAAATTGCTTGGGTTGTGCCTGTGTAGAGAGAGGGAGACAATGATTGACTGATTCCTGGCACATAGCTAGTCTCTTAATAAAAGTTAGCTGCCCTGTGAACTGGTATATACCAAAGAGAAGTGAGCGCGTCTTCCCACCACAAGACGTAAGGTGGTGCATTACAGCTCTAGTCATTGTTGTCAGAATCTGGAAACAAGCCAGATATTTGTGGATGAACAAGAGAAGCTGATTACTGTATGATTCTATTTACATGAAGTGTAAAAAGAGGCAAAACGAATCTCTGGTGATAGAAGTGAGGATGGGATTACCTCTGGGGGTGTTAGGCTGGGAAGTTGGAAGTGGTCGATATTCTCAAGCCAGCCATGAGAGTATTTAGAGCACAGGACTTCTCAAATACAAACCAGCTCCCCCACCGCCCTGCCAACGGAAGCAAAACAGAGGTAAGACATTTGCCAGTTTGTTCACTGCCCTTCCTCCCTCCCCCTCCTTTCCTCCAGCCAGGTGTCTTCTCACCAATATCCCTTCAAGGTCCAACCTTGACCCACTCAATCTAAATAACATTCAATCCCACTATTCTCCAGAACCCAAAGCCTGGCACAGGTGGGGAAAATCACTGCTTGTTTACTGAATGAGTCCCGCCACAAGCCCTTGTCCTTTTCTGCCCCGATACAAGTGAATGGCACCACCCAGAGCCCAAGCCAGAAGCCTCCTGTTGCCCTTGATTTTCCCCTGTGCCTCCTCCTGTCCCCAAATCCATCGATCCTAGATCCTGCAGATCCTCGATCTCCTGGACCGCCACTGCACCAGCCTCCTCTCCTCTCCTCCTCCCCTTTCCAGCCCATTCTCCACCCTGTGGCCACAGGTCAGCTTCCCTTCAGGTGCATTTAAGCCTCGGGAAACAGTCGTCGGACCACCTTCCGCACCTTCTGTCTAGCCTCGCCCGTCCTCAGACCTCGGTCTGGACACCCCAGGGCTCATCTTGGGCCGCAGTCCCCAGAACCTTCCTCCGCCTGGGGGCTCTCCGCGCAGCTCGGGCTGTCATCACGTCTGTCACGCGGGGTTGTGGCCGCTGGGGTGTCCCACGCAGTCTGCAGAGTGGAAATACTCATCGCCAGGGCCGAGCACGCCCAGGCACCAACACAGCTTTTAGAACCAACAGAAAGCGACTTCCCTCTGAGCCTGTCGCCTCACCCGTTAAACAGAGACAGCGATCGCCTATGGTTTCGGCGGGGACTGAGTAAGAGATGTGTTGAAGCAGCACGGACAATGCACGATGGCAGCTTCACGACAGAAACGTAACTGCCCGCTGCTGGCCTCGACCCTCCGTCGCAGAGACCGTGGGTACGTGCAGGTCGTGCTTAGCACAGGGACCCGCACACGACCGAGCCGCATGTAGGAAACAGAAGCCAGAACCGGGCCAGCGACGCTCTCTCCTCCGGCCCCGGGCGCCCAGGGCCAACGGCAGCTGCTCTGGGTTGAGGCGGTGCCCGTCTGCCCGCAGCCGGCGGTGACCGCCAGGCGCCGACCCAGACCCCCGGCCGGAGCGCTTGCGCCCCGCCCCGAGACGCGCCGCGCCAAAGCCCATTGGCCGACGCCACGCGCACGTGGCACCCCACGTGACGAGCCCCCGGAAGCCGGCCCCAGACCACGTGGGCCCGCTGCTCTCACGTGACGCGACCCCGGAAGTCGGCCCGGCGTCGGAGCCGCAGCGCCCGGAGCCTCTGCGGCGCCAGCGCGCTGGGCGGCAGCGGCGGGATGTTCTCGGCGGGAGCCGAGAGCCTGCTCCACCAGGCCAGGTTCGGGGGGGCCGTGGCCCCAGCCTCCCCTTCCCGCGCCTCTTCCTGGGGACACCTGGGGGCGGGTCTCACGGGGACCCGACTGCACCCATCCTAGAGACCTGGGGGACGAGGACGGCAGCACGCCGACCAGGCACTGGGCGGGGAGGTCGGGGAGGACCCAGGTGGGTCCCCGGAGGAGGTGACACCTGAGCGGAGGCTTAAGGGATGAGTGCAAGGGGGGGGCACAGGGGATGGTTCGGTCCAAAGCTTGGCAGGGAGAACCCACGACTGGCAGGAAATAGGGTAGCCGGGGAAGCTTTAGTTGCTTCCGAGTCAAGAGCACAAAGTCGCAGGAGAGCTTGTCGAGAGTGGAGTCGTGTGCCGAGCCGAGGAGCTGTGTGCCACTCCGAGGAACTCGGGGAGCGTGGCAGGGCTTGTGATTTAGAAAGATGGCTCTTGCTTCTGCCCTTCCACAGGGACCCTCAGGCGCTGATGCGCTGACTGGGCTGAGAAACGACCCGCCACCTGCTGGTCCCAGGCTGCCTCTGGACCCCCACGCGTTAGTGGGCAGTCTCATCCTCACCAGCTAACTAGTCATGAGAGGAAGCTGAGTGTAGGCCAGGACTCCAACGTCCCACGGTCCACCAGACGGGCTAAGACTGGACACCTTGTTTAAAAGAAGAAAATGCAGCCAGTACCATAAGCCCTTGACAAACTTACAAATCCACCTGGATTCAGAGCCAGGCCAGTTGGTGGAAAAGATTAGAATGGCTGAAGTTGCTGTGATTATAGTGAGTGAGGTCTTGATTGCAGATTGTTCTAAAGTCTGTGGGCAGGACAAAAATCTCTAACCAGAATAACCCTTGAGGATCTTAGGATCCCATATAGCCCAAAACAGGCCATCTTCCCTTCATGACGGGACAGATGTGTCATTCATTTGAACTTAGGGACTGTATTAAATGCAAAACACTGTTATATCCCACTCAGCACACAGCATGCTCACCCCAGAGTGCTTGCCAAGAGACAAGTGAAAACAAACCCACTGAGAACTTCATTCTCAATTCACATCTCCCTAAGGTCATGAACCGGTAGAATGAAAGGCAAAAGGAACATCCCTCACTATTTAAATTTCCATTTTTCTGTCTCTCTAACTTGGGTGGGTGGGCAGGTTGAGACTAGAGAGTGGTTGAGTCTCCTGAAAATGCATGCGTTCTACGATTCCTGTTAGGGTTTCCAGAAAGTTAATAACCTGTCAGTGAGAACTTGCTGATTTTCACAGTATACTTTATTTAAGCCTGTGATTTCAACTGGTGTTTTAAATAAATGACTAAGATTTTAGTTTGTCTCTATGTAAGAGACATGGAAAGCACGGGCAGAAAAAGCTAGCAAGTCATGGGTCATGGAGGGTGCACAGCAGAGTCGGATTTTCAGGAGGATGAGGCAGCTGATCAGATGCTCAGAAAGAGTGGGAGGAATTTCAGGCAGAGGGTCCCTGTGGAGGGACAGAAGCAAGAGGATGTGAAGGCTGGAGAAGGAAAGGGAGGCCGGGCCGTACACACAACATGAGGGGCTGCAGGAGTTTGGATTTGAAAGCAGTGGGGAGCTGTTGAAGGGTTTCAGTGTTTTGGCCTCTTGGAAAGAAGCCTAGATGTGGAGAATATGCTGAAGCAAACTCAGCTGAGACAAGGAGCTCCACCATTCTGGGAGAGTCTCCACTGTCATTGCAAGAAGTCTAGTAGCTTCCTCCTTGGTCTTGTTTGGTGTTTGTATTTCAGTATCATGACACTAGTTCCACACACCTGGACTTGTCCTCTGTCTTCCTCTCCGTTTCCTCGTCCAAGTGTGCCTATCCTTTTGCTTGTGGGTGACTATAACTGGTCAACTCAAGTAAAGAAAAAATGAAAATGAGGGTGAAGGGTGGTGAGGAATTTAATGGCATTTATCTCACAACCTTCAAAGAAGAACAGGAAATCCCAGGCACCACCAGGCCCTCGATCATATATGGTCACTGAACGTTCTCTTCAGCCCCAGCTGCTGGGATTCTCTGTCTCACATTCCCATTTCTGCAGCTCAGGCATCTGACGGATCCCGAATGAGCTTAGTGTACAAATTGGATCCCTCAACTGTGGTCAGGAGGCCAAAGTGGGGACTTCAGCCATGGCTAGGGAAGGTGGGGAGTGACCTGGAGGCATGGCCCTAGAGGCACCTAGCACAGTAGCTCCTTTGCACTATACCTTTTCTTACCTTTAAGCTGGAATCAAAACCTAAAAACAGGTTTCCGTTTTGAATTTTTGTTCAACATCCTACCTGTGGCCAGTGCTCACTAGAGAGATTTTTTAATTAAGCCAATTAAGTATCAGCGTGAGAAATTACAATAGACTTTCTTTATAGTGTGTCATAACATTTGTTCTTTAATCTCTAGGATTTAACTTTTATTCCTGGAAGTGAAAGGATCATTGAAGACATCCTTTGCAAAGCAACGTATTTTAGACTAAATTTTCTACTTTTCAATGAGACTCCTAAAAACAATCAGTTTTAGTTCTTCTCCTGAAATAACCAAATCTGAATGCCTGAGTCTCCACTGGTGAGGTCTGTCATAGTAAAGTAGGGGAGTGATGGATGGCTCGATCCCTGGGTAAGCGGAGCCAGTTCAGATCATCAGTGACTGTGTCTTGAGGTGTGTCGTGGGCGGTGGAAGCACACCTGGCTTTCTCTTTGCCTGAGGGATGTCCCCCGGTCCTGGAGTCCTCCTGTTGTGGTCAGAGCAACACTGCTGGATCCTGATGCCCTCTTCATTTAGGGAGATCCAGGACGAGGAGCTGAAGAAGTTCTGTTCCCGGATCACTAAGCTGCTACAGAAGGAGGACTTGGGGCCTGACACCATCGACTCCCTGCAGAGGCTCTTCCTCATCGTCTCGGCCACAAAGTATAACCGGAGGTGAGTGTGGTCACCACTCAGCCAGCTCCTAATGTAGCAACCCTGGGAGAACCTTGTCCACACCCAACAGACGCTCCTTGGGTGTTGGGTCCCGTGTCTGTACATACCTGCGCCGAAGGGCCTTACATGTAAAACGCTCTATCCTTCTGCCGAGGGAGCTGGGCCAGCTGCTCGGGGGTACCGGATGCTCTTGCTGTGTCTGTAACGTGTCGCCACCACTGGGGTCTTGCCCTCCAGGCTGGAGAAGACATGCGTAGACCTGCTGCAGGCCACCCTTGGCCTGCCCACGTGCCCTGAGCAGCTCCAGGTTCTCTGCGCCGCCATCCTGAGAGAGATGTCACCCTCGGACAGCCTAACCCTGTCCTGGGACCACACCCTGAACACCCGGCAGCTGAGCCTGATGGCCTCTGTGCTCCTGGCTCAGGTAACATGATCGTTGCCTCCCCGGCTGGCCCAACTGCCCTGGGTGGTCCTGGGGCCTTGGGCGTACCCGGCAAGCTGGCCTGTGTCCCCTTGTGTATGCCGACATGCCACACAGGCCCGCCCAGCGTGGGTTCCTATTCCGTTCAAGTGTGTGTCACTGCCTCAGGTTTGCCAGGCACCTGGCACTCGGATGCATCTAGATCAAGCAGACGCATCTCGCTCCGTGCATGCGGTGTCATGCCGCCCAGCCACCCCTTCTCTCCTGGATGGCCCAGCCCTGTTGTGTGTCCCTGGTGTCACCGGGGGGTTTTTCATTGTGTGGGTTTGTGGAGTGATGTCTAGCAGTTTAAGGACTGACCTTTTACCTCATCACTAACATGTCCTATAACCTGCTTGAGTTTAAAAAGGTACTTGACATATACAAGTTAGATTTAGTGAGCTGCCCCAGGCTGGTATGTGACAATATCTGACTGCCCGTTAGATGTCCAGGCAGAGCAGCATGCCCGGGGTGAGCGTGTGGGCGTGTCCACTTGCGCAGAAGCTCTGGGTGTGGCTGATGGCGGTCTTAGCTCTGCCTGGCCTGGATTCCCTGTGGCCTCTGTCCAGCCCAGGGCCCGCCTATGGCCCCCTGGCTCTGAGGGGCTGGAACCTGGAACCTGGTGCTCACACCAGCAGCCCTGTAGCCCCCGTCCCAGGAAGTCTTTCTCCAAGAGTCGGGTTAGGGTTTCCGCTGGGTGTCCTGGAGACCACAAAGATGACATGTCCTGCAGCCTTACGGGGTCTGTGGGGGCCACCACCCTGTGGACGGCGTGCCCTGCAGCCTTGGTGGGTTTGTAGGGGCCACCGCTGTGTTTGGGGTATTGACTCGGCCCTGCTCCCACCCGAGCCCCCTTCCCCCCTTGGTGACGCGACTCCCGAGGGAGGGAGGCTCACGGACCTTTCTGCACTGGCAGGCCTGGCACGCTCCCCTCCCTCCCACCCCCAGGATGGTGGTCTCAGGGCCCCGCTCTTCAGGCGTGTCTTACAGACTCCCACACAGGAGCTGGTTTCTCCGGCACTGGGGGCAGATCAGCGCCTCAGTGGGTGCCTTGTGTTTGACTTGAAGGGTGACAGAAGAGAGGAGGTCCGAGCCGTGGGCCAGGGCGTTCTGCGAGTCCTCGAGGCCCGGCAGCCTGAGGGGCCTAGCCTCAGACCCCTCCTCCCCATCATGTCGAAGGTCGTGAGCCTCAGCCCGGGCGCCCTCCCAGAGGGTGCGTGCGTCTCTGGAGAGGCCTGTGCTGGGTCTGCCTCCCTGGGCCCTTCGCTGGGGTGGCTGTGGGGGCCATGGGGTTGCCGGGCGGGCAGGTAGGTCCCCTGCTGAGCCTCACAGGAAGGCCTGAGGGTGTGGCTTCTGTGCGGATGATGCTTCCTGAGGAAGACCTAGCATCTCACCGGGCCGGGATCTGCAGGGTTTGACGGTTCCTCTCTGCGTGATCCCCACCCCCTGCAGACCAGATCACCCTACTCAGCAAGAGGCTGGTTGACTGGTTGCGCTACGCCAGTGTCCAGCAGGGGCTGCCGCAGGCTGGTGGCTTCTTCTCTACACCCAGAGCCCGGCAGGTGAGGCTGGAGCTGCTTCAGCACCTCAGGGACCTGGGACTCCCTGAAGCTCCCCCCCCCGGGAGTCCCTGTGCCCACTGCGGTCTGCTGCCCAGCAGGCGGCCATTGACACTTCTGTCGTTGCACGGGGTCCAGGATGAGGCCACCTGTCCGCCTAGGCTGGGGGCTTGGGTCGGGTGAGGTCACAGCCCCCAGCCCGTGTGGCCCTGGGGAGTGTGTGTGGGTTCATGCCTGGAGCCTGCAGAGGATGTGGGTGTGCAGCTGCCTGGGGTCGGTGCGGCGTTTCTGCATCGCACGGCAGGAGGGACTGGGAAACGGGGCCTCTGGACGGGGCAGAGCAGCACAGTCCAGGCTCTGCTGTCCCTGGGCCACTTGCGAGCCCACGTTCTCGGGTGGTGCTTGCTCCACCCTCCTGAGTAGCCGCGAACCCTGCGGCCTTTCCCCTGGCCTCAACCCCTCCCCCCCGTGGCCTGCCTGTCCTTCCTCCCGCAGCCAGGACCCACTACGGAGGTGGACGGGGCGGTGGCCACAGACTTCTTCACGGTGCTTTCCACGGGCCAACACTTCACGGAGGACCAGTGGCTGAACGTGCAGGCCTTCTCCATGCTGCGCCTGTGGCTGCTGCACAGCGGCCCCGAGGGCCTGGGCACCCCGGAGGCAGGTCAGATGGGGGCGGGACACGGGCCGCCCGGGTCTGCGCGCAGGTCGGGTGTGGTGGGGCAGGTCAGGCGGGCTGGGCTCAGGTCACACGGGCCGGACGAAGGCCAGATGGGGCAGGGCTCAGGCCAGTGGAGGTGGAATGCGGGTCTGACAGGCCTGGGTGAAAATCAGACAGTGAGAGGCAGGTGGGACAAAGGTGTACCTGCTCACGTCGGAGGTCGGGAGACTGGGCAGCAAAGGCCTGCTGGCCCTGAGCTAAGCTGAGAAACCACCCAGCACTGCTGGTGTCCTGGGGCAGCCCTGGGAGGCCAGTGTGGCCTCCCTCATGGGACAAGCAGGAGATGCCAGGGCCGTCATTTAAGGCGGGCGCTCACGAGGCTACTGGGATGACCTCACTGAGCTCCTGCCTGTCTGCAGCCTAAACACTCTAGACTGCTGGACTTGAAGGGCGTCTGTGAGGGGGACAGCGGGGTGGTGGGTGGGTGGCCCGAGGTGGGGGCCCCTCGTGCCCCTGGGAGCCTGGCCAGAGCGTGTTCTGTGTCCTCCTCTGGCCTCCGTGGCAGCCAGCCTCCCCAGTCCTGCTGAGTGGTCTCTCCCCCCACAGATGACAGGTCGGACCTGGAAGGCTCCGCCCTGTCGGTCATCTCGGCCACCTCCCCCTCCGGCCGCCTGCTGTCCCCCCGGGAGCGGCTCAGGGAGGTGGCCTTCGAGTACTGCCAGCGTCTCATTGAGCAGAGCAACCGAAGTACGACCCGCCCGGGGCCGTCCTCCCCAGGCCCGACCCCCCTGCAGCGTGAACTGCGGCGGCGCTCTCCGCTGCGCAGCTGCTCCAGGGACACCGGGGTCCTCAGCACCGGTTAAGGGCTGGGAGGCCCTTCGTGTCCACTCAGCCTCAGGGAGTTCCGCCCTCCCCAGCCCCAGGCCTGCCCATCCCACCCATGCCCTTGGGCCTCAGGCTCACCTTGCGTCTTCTGGGGATGGGGTCCCTCCCCTCCCCCGAGCCCGCCGCTTCGTCCATCCCCTCCCAGTGCTGCCCGGAACGCAGGCCGCCCTCCCGCCGGGCTGTTCCGAGACCACCCCGACTGACCCTGTCCCTTCCCCCAGGAGCCCTGAGGAAGGGGGACTCGGACCTGCAGAGAGCCGTAAGTGGCCGGGGTTGCAGGGGAGAGGGTGCCCGGGAGAGGCAGCGGCTCGGCCCATTGACGAGGCCCGTGGTCCCGTGTCCCGTGCCTGCAGTGCCTGGTGGAGGCGGTGCTGGTGCTGGACGTGCTTTGCCGGCAGGACCCGTCCTTCCTGTACCGCAGCCTGTCGTGCCTGAAGGCCCTGCACGGGCGGCTGAGCACGGACGCGGCCCGCGTGCGGGTGCTGCTGCCCCTGGCCCGCTTCTTCCTCAGCCACGGTGAGCGGGGGGGAGGGGCGGGAGGGAGTTTAGGGGGAGTGCCTGCCCTCAGGGCTCCTCCCAGGCCGTTAGTTTTAGGGTGGCATTTCTTTTTGTTTTTGTTTTTCTGAGTTGGAGTCTCACTCCTTCGCCCAGGCTGGAGTGCAGTGGCATGCTCACGGCCACCCCAGCGTCGACCTGCTGGGCT